TTTTTTTTTTTTACTATTATAAAGAAAGTTGCTATAAACATTGGTGTACAGGTTTTTGTGTGAACACATTTTCATTTCTTTTGGATAAATGTTACAAAGCCTGAATGAATGCTGGGTCACATGATAGTTGCATATTTAGTTTTATAGGACTCGCAAATTAATTTAGAGTGACTGTATACTTTTATAGTACCACTTGCAATAAATGAGTGAAATTTCCTCAGCATCATGGCCAGCATTTGGTGTCATCACGATCTTTATTTTGGCTATTTTTTTTTTCAAGATTTATTTATTTGTGCATACAGAACTGGGGTGCAGGCCAGAGGCTCAGGGGCGGTGAGAGGCTTCACCAGAGACAGAGTGGGGAACAGAACAGGCAGATCAACAAAGTACACTGCTGAGGGAGCAGCAGGCGGGTCAGGAGAGGTCTGCCATGCCATGTGGTCACCTCTCGGGCAGGCGGGGATCGAATTCATGTGGAAGTGGCTTTAGCTTCTCAGTGCTGTGCTTTAACCCGCTGCACCACCAGGGAGGGCCTATTTTGGCTATTTTTATAGGTGTTTAATAATATATCATTATGGCCTTTCAAGCATTTCTTCATTGGCAAAAGATAGTATCTTTCATGTGCACATCTGTCATTTATGTATCTTCTGTGGCGTGTCTATTCATTTCCAAATTGGATTGTTTATTGCAGAGTTGTGGTGTTTTAAATATATTTTAGATATCTTTATTTCATCTGTGGCTTATAATTATTTTACCCAAGTCATTATCTCTTTATGCTTTTCACAAGTTTTCTAAATATCTAAATTTTAAAGTTTGATGATTTCATTATTTTTAAATTCTTATCTGTTATAAGTCAGACTTTTGATGTCAAAGTTAAGAATTCTTCATTAGTCCTATGTCATAAAGATTTTTTACTTATTTAAAAAGTTTCATTATTTTATATTTTACAGTTAAATCTATGATACTCATATGAAATGTAAGATCTATATTAATTTGTTTATGTTTGCCTATGGATATATAGCAAACCATTTGATGAAAAGGCTATTCTTTCTTTTTTTATGCTTCCAGAGCTGGGGAGCAGAACAGGCTGACCAATGAAATACACTGCTGAGGGGAGCAGCGGGTGGGTCTGGAGAGGTCTGCTGTGCCATGTTGGTCACCTCCTGGGGCAGGGATTGAACTCATGCTAAAGTGGCTTTAGCTTCTTAGTGTTGTGCTTTAGCCCACTGTGCCACCAGGGAGGACCCGGCTATCCTTTCTTTACTGAATTACTTTTGTAGTTTTGCTAAAAGTCAGTTACTATAGCAATTGAACTCACAGAGACAGACGGTAGGACAGCAGTTATACTAGTGACTTTGGGCAGGGAGAAAGGAGAGTTAATGATTAATGAGTAGAATTTCAGTGTGGGAAAATTGTTCTGGAGATGAATGACAATGACAATTGCAGAACAACGTGAATGAACTTGATGTCACTGAGCTGTTTACTTTAAATGATTACGAAGGTAAATTGCATATTATGTGTGCTTTAGAATATGTTTTTAAAAATCAGTTGGGCATAACTGTGAGTATGTTTTTGGTTTCTCGGTTCTGTTCTATTAATCTAATTTCTACCTCTCCACCACCAACCATACTTGATTCCTATAGTAAGTTGGACTCAATATCTAGTAAAGGGGTCTCTCCTACTTTATTATTTTTTTGAAGATTGTTTTAGCTCATCTAGGGCCTGCACTTTCCCTATGGTTTTTAGAATATGCTTGTGCATATTTACAAAATAACTTACTAGGGTTTTGACAGAAATTACATTAAACCCATTGAACAGTCTGGGGAGAATTAACATCTTTAGTGTGCTGCATTCCCAATCCACAAAAATGGTATTTGTCTCTCTTTATTCACACCTTCACTGATTTCTTTCATCAGTATTATGTAATATTCGGCATACAAATCCTGTGCATATTTACTGAAGTATTTCAACATATTCCAATTGGATTGAGTTGTGCGTAATCTTGCACTCTGTGACTGTGATGTACTGATATAACTGTTAGACGTTCTTTGTATCTTTTGCCCATTTTGCATAACTATCGTATAATGTGACAGAATGTTGATATTCATATAATTCACCCATCGTATTCAAATTTTTCATTTTACTCATATTTATTTACCTTTTCAGCCACACCCACCTCCCTCTAGGAATAGCCCTCCCTCAACTTCTGGTAACCACTAATCTATCCCCCATTTCTAAAATTTTGTCATTTTAAGATGTTATGTAAGTGGAATCTTATGAAATGTAACCTTTGAAATATGTTTTTTTTCTGTTCAACATGGCTACTCCTTTTTGACTTGTAAACTCCTATTTAAGTATATTCATCAGTTTTACTAGAGACTATCAAACTGCACCTGTTTGCTGATGGATAGGCTAACCTAGTGCTTATAGTATCTTTTAAAAGCCCCATAGCAAATGTTTATTCTTGAGGGAGCATGCCTAGATAAAAATTATTATGATTTATGCTCTTTTAAGGTGACTTGTGACAGATAAACAAAGAAATTTTATAAATGTCATTCTGAATGCCAAGATTTATTAGTAACATATTTTAAGAAAGCACCAACTAAAATATCCATTTAAATTACATTAACTCTATCTATAAAGGCCTGGAAAAGCCTAATGGAGCCTGAAATAATAGTATTCCTGGAATTTATCAAGGCATTTGTAAAACTAACTTGCTCTATTTTTTATTCTAACAAAAAATAAAACTCAGGGCCTTCCCTGGTGGCGCAGGGGATTAAAGCACCTCACTAAGAATCGAAAGCTACTTCCGTATGAGTTTGATCCCCACCTGCCCCGGAGGTGACCCACATGCCGCGGCAGACCTCTCCTGACCCGCCCACTGCTCTCCTCAGCATTTTACTTAGTCCATCTGCTTGTTCTGCTCCCCATTCTGTCTCTGGTGAATCCTGTCACTGCCCTTGCTCCTCTGGCCTGTACCCCAATTGTGTATGCACAAATAAATAAATCTTAAAAAAAAAAAAAACTCAAGTAAATTAATTCACCAAGAGAGGAAATATCTATTAAGAATTCCATGTATGGAAGTTTCTTAGAAATACACTTGTGTTACTGGTTGTTCTATAATTTATTACATTCTTTTGTTTTTTCATCTATTGGTAAAGGTTCTAATTTTTCAAAAAGGCCAAATTTCAAATGCCTGGGAAGTTATTCATTTGCTAGTAGTTCATTTTCCTTGTACAGAAACTTAGACACAAATTTACTCACCTGTTTTCATATTGAAATTTTGCTAGTATGTCCTTGGCTTTCGTTTGACTATTGAGTTGAATGGCCATGGACACCTTGGAGAGAAGTGGAGCATGGACCCGTATAACTCCTTCGGGCACGTCAGACTGCCAATGAGGAAAAATTCATTACGTTCTATCAAGCTAGTCATGACTGCCCATAAGAGATGGAAATAAGTGACACTATGAATAAAAAAACATGTAAACATAACCAGGTTTTAACTAAAAATAAAACACAGCTTCTTCTTTAAGGGAGTTTCACTAGTGACTCAACTTTCCCTGAACTTGACTAGCACCACAAGCTAAGGTCTTGCTAGCCAGTAAATGCCTTAACACCATGAAACAGGCACAACAAAAACCTAACATTTCTATCAGTGCATTTTTTTTTGAACAATGTCTTAAAGAAGCTTACTTTACACATTCTGTATTTCATTGTTGAAAAGGTCAACCTTCTCTAAAGGATCAACTAGGAAGTATGATTTTTCAAATACCCTTTTCCTTAGTCAGTAGCAATGACAGGCCAGGCCCAAGTGAATTTCAGATGGGCACTTGAACTTTCATCCCTTCAGAGTGTTCTGAAACCCTGTGAGAGCAGAGTGGCTCAGCTTTCATATGATGTCCTGAGTGATCTGGGGACTCAGGAGCACTTGCCTAAATAAAATATCCAAAGAAGGGTAATGTGTAAATTATATAACTTCCTGTTTTGTGAAGATAAACTGGAAAATTTGTTTTGAATTTGAGTGCTTTAAAAATAAATTTATTATGATATAAGTAAATTTCCATTTGTTTTAGAATCTATCTTCTCAGGGAATCATTTTAAATCTATACCTACACAAAAGATGGTCTTGTTTATGAAGAAGGTTTATGTGACACTATACACTAGATAGAATATGCGGGAGTATGTTCATCAAAAAGACACGTTGAAGTCCTAATCCTTACTATCTGAAAATAATCAGATTCTACTTTATTTGGAAATAGGGCACAGATGTAATTAAGATGTGGTCATTAAAATGGACTCTTAATCCAATATAATCAGTGCCCTTATAAGAGACATAGCACACCAAAAGGGTGAGTATCATGTCAACCTGTAGGCATAGATTGGAGAGATTTATCTACAAATAAAGAAAACTGAAGACTGCTGACAACACCAAAATCTAGAAATGATGTCAGGAAGTGATCCTGCTCTGATAACCTTCAGAAGGAACGACCTGAACAAATATCTTAATCTCAGATTTCCAGCATCTAAATCTATTGTTTTAAATTGCCATTTTATGGTATTCTGTTAAGGCAACACTAGGAAGCTAAAACAAAATTTTTTTTTAAAAAAGGACAATTTTTAAAGTACTTTTCTAATGATACCATCAAGAACCAGGAGAACATTCTAGAGAACAATTTGAGGTACGTGAACTTGGGAGGGAGCAAAGTATGCCTGGTTATATCGGTCAAGATCATACTCCTAAAACACTCTTTCAGTCATTTCATTTCCCCCTACCTCCAGCTTCTCAGTAGCCTTTATAAAAACAAATGCAAACTCCTGACACTCTATGATCATAATCATCACCGTTTCCCAGTCATTTCCTATAATATTCATCCTGGTACAGGATGCCTAAACAGACATCCGAGCCATCAACTGGTTGATTCCCTATAATGTTCCTTTATGTGTATCAAGTTTGAAGGATATATGCGTGTGTGTGTGTGTGTGTGTGCAGGTATGTGTGCAAATGTGGTATAGATATAGCTAGAAAATACTATGAAGGTAGTTAGTAATTGGAAGGAAATAAATTATTTGTTTTCTTACCATTCTTCTTGCAGAGGGTGATTTTTGTAGTACCTTTGAAGTCTTGGGGCTTGTAACCTAAATAAAACACATTTAGCTTTTAGAATTAACATTGGAAAAAGTAAAAGCTGCTATTGGAAAGTAAAAGCTGCTATTGGAAATATATACTGGTACAATCTTTATGAAAGACTTTTTTGGCAGTATTTATCAAATTATAAAATGATTATGCTTTTTGACCCGACAATTCCATGTCTGCTTTATTACCCTTCACATAAACTCAATTGTGAGAAATGACATATGATTTTATATATTCACCAATAGAAATTAACCCTAAGAATGAAGGATTAGTTCAACACATAAAAACCAATCAGAATAACATACCATATCAAATGGTATCCCAATGATCATCTCAACAGAGAGAAAAAGCATTTGGCAAAATTCCACATACTTTCATGACAAAAACACTCAATAATCTAAGAATTAGAGGAATTTTCTTAAATTGGTAAGTGGGATTTATGAAAAATGTACCTATAACATCCTACTGAATAGTAAAAGATTGAAAGCTCCTCCCTTAAGATCAGAAACAACACAACAATCTCTGTCCTTTCCTTCTTTTTAATTATTCTTTTTTATTATTAAATATTCCAGTCCGAAAAATTAAACAAACAAAAAGATATAAAAGGCATCCCAATTGGAAAGGAAGAAGGAGAGCTTTTTAATCACAGATAACATGGATTTCTATATAGAAAATCCAAAGTAATCTATACACACAAAACTAAACTCAAAATAACTTAGTCCAACAAAATTGCAGAACACAAGGCTAATATACAAAACTCAGTTGTATTTCCTTATACTAACAACCATCTAAAATTACGAAAATTACATTTATAATAGTCTCAAAAATACCACTTAGGAATAAATTTAATCAAGGAATTGTGAAATATGTACACTGAAAACTATAGATTAGAAAAAAAAAACCAAATCATGCTAAGAACGCCCATTTTCATGACCTGAAAAACCTAATATTATTAGAATGACAGTATTTTCTAAAACACCTACATATTCAATGTCATCCCACTACCTTTATTTATTTTTTTTTTCACAGAAATGGAACAGTTGAGACAAAAATTTATGCAGAAATGCAGTAATTCCAAGTAAGCAATGTTTTGAAGGAAACAAAGTTAAACAACTCACATTTTTCAATTTCAAAACTTACAAATGATATACAGTAATATATCCTTATATATCTATACAGATATCTACACAGATCAGTTGGACAAAATTAAGAGTCTAGAACAAAAATCATACACCTGTGGTCTATTAATTTTTGATAAGAGTACCAAGCTTTTCATAGATCTTACTTGCCTTTGGGGGAAGAGGAGATTTTTCAGCAAATGGTATAAGGAAAACCATATGCAAAAGAATAAACTTCCTCTAGAAATAATATAAGGTTAAATCTTTATGATCTAGGAATTAACAAACAATTCTTAGAAATAATAACAAAAGTGTGATCAACACAAGAAATAGTAAATAAATTATACTTCATCATAATTAAAAACCTTAGTGCATCATTGGAAACAAGAAATTGAAAAGAAAATCTAGAAGATGGCAAGTATTTACAAAACATAAAGCTGATAAAACCACTTGTATCTAGAATATATAAAGTACTCTTACAACTTGATAAAAAGACAACCTAATCAAGAATTGACTGATTTTGATAGACATTTCTTCAAAGATGATGTATAACTAGCAAATAAACATAGCAAGATTCTCCACATTATTTGCTATCAGGGACATGCAAATCAAAACCACTTCATACTCTTTAGGATAAGTAGAATAAAAAAATCTTATAATTAACAAATATTCAGAATATAGAGAAATTGACTCCTTATACACTACTAGTAGAAATGCAAAACATATAGAGCTGTAAGAAAGAATGAAATGTAGCCATATCCAACAAAATGGAGGAAATTTGAAAAAGTTATGACACAGTATATACCCAAGAGATTTGAAAACATGTTCACACACATACAAATGTATGCATGTATACATGTTTATGTACACATACACACAAACTTGTACACGAAAGTTTATAGCAGTATTATTCACAGTAGCCAAAAGGTGTTAAAAAAAAAAAACAAAACCACAAATTTAAGTCAAAGGATAAGTGAATAAATAATAAGTGGTATAACATAAAATGCAACATTATTTGGCTATTAAAAATACACTACAACTTGGACAAGCCATGCAAATATAATGTTAAGTGAAATAAGGCACAAAAGAGCACATATTTATTATACCATTTCATTTATCAAAAGTCCAGAACAGGGAACTCATAGAGACAGAAAATAGGTTATAGTTGTTGCTTAGGACTCGGGGGAACAAGTGGGGATGGTAGTGTTACTGGAGGGATGATAGCAAAGGGTATGAGTTTTTATTTCTTTTGATGTGATGGAAATGTTCTAGAATTAGTTGTTGATGGCTGCAAACATATATACATATATGAAAAATGACTGGACTGTATACTTTAAATGGATAAATTGTATAACATATGGATTATGCACGACAAAGTTGTTTAAAAAAAGATGTATGCAAAAATGAAGAAAAAGAAATAAGGTACTGACATGCTAGAGCATGGATGAATCATCAAAACAGTATGCTAAGTGAAAGAGGCCACATATGGTATGATTCCATTTACAAGAAATGCTCAAAGTAGGTAAATTCATAAAGACAAAAAGCATCTTTGTGTATCCCAGGGCCTGTGGAGAGTGCTTGAGTAGTATGGGTTTTCTTTTTAGGATAGCAAAATTATTCTGTAATTATATAACTATAAACATACAAAAACTATGTGAATATACTAAAACTATGGAAAAGTTTGAAATAGTTAAAATAGGTGAATTGAATATATAGTATGAATACTCCTCTTAACAAATTAAAAATGTTTTCCCTCAATAGTCTTAATTCTACTTGATACTTTTTGTGTCCATAATCAATGAGAAAATACTGTCATTTATCATGACTGTGATAAGACAATAAACAAAACCCTACCTCACTGCTTTGCCATTTACCATTCCTTTTCCTGAGTGAATTTTCCCTTCTTTCTGCATTTAAAATGCTATCCAGTTTTCAAGTGGTGCTTAAATGTCAGTTTCTTAATGAAGTTGCCCACAACTTCCTGCATGGAAGCATATATCTTTCCTCTTTGCATGATACTGATACATCACCTGCAAACAGCTCTGACATTTAGTACATATTCATGGGTCTTGTATGCAGTTCTCTCCCACATTTGGTTAACTTTCTTTAAAAGGAAAATGAATTTCATGTATATTTTCCACCTGTTCAAGGTCAAATGCTTTGATTCATGAACATGATAAAATTAAATTAAAGCAATAAAAACAACTGTTTTAAAACTTGTTTCTGTTATCCACCTCCATGAAAACTGGGCTAAAGCAAAAATTCTTCAGAATGCAGAGAATTTACACAAAATCACTTGAGATTAGACATTATTATTTTTTAACATAATATAATAGTTTATTTTTACATCATTTTGTACATTTTTTTTATCTCAATTGTAATCCCCGTGGGGAGATTAGATATTATTTTATTATGCAACTACTAAAGAAACTTTTCCCCTATTAGTACACTAAATATTGAATTGCTCCATAAATCTAGTTCACAGGGGCTGAAGTGATTTCAGTTTTTGTAAGAACCATTTTAGCCATATACCCATTTATATGGGTACAGTTTACAGTTTACACAACGGTTATATTACAAGGCAGTCCAATTACTTGGAGAATAAAATATTTTTGTTTCTAAATTACAAGGTACTTTGTGCCTGACTTTGAAAAATAAAAACCTGGGTAGTAACATTTGTACCATCCTTTATTATTATTACCTCTCTTTCTAAGGTCTTCCTCCTCAGTAGCTTTTTGACACTTGGGAGCTGCTTCTTTAACATCATTGTGGCCTCATTCATTCTTCTGACTTGAGTAATTAAGAAAGATGGAACCTGGAGAAGAAAAATAGCTTTACTAGAAGTAAGACACTGGGATAAAACCACTTTAGGAGATTCTGTCTTCAGTTATGGTAACTCCTTCTAGGCATTCAGTGCCCTAGGACTAGGAACTGTGATATTTTTACCTGTAAAGATTAAGAAAACAACAATCCCTAGTTCTCTTCTTTAAAAGCAAAAATGGGAGCTCTCCCTGATGGCGCAATGGGTTAAAGCACCAGTTATGAAGCTCTTAGAAGCCACTTCAGCACAAGTATAATCCCCTGCCAGCGAGGAGATACACATGGCATGGCAGACCTCTCCTGACCTGTCTGTTGCTCCCCTCAGCAGTGTATTTCAGTAGATCTGCCTGTTCTATTCCCCACTCTGTCTCTGGTGAATTCCCTCACCCATCACACCTCTGGCCTGTACCCTAGTTCTGTAAACATAAATAAATAAATCTAAAAAAAAAAAATGTGTTCAGAAGCTTATCATCTGCCACACATAGCCTGGGAATATCACCTGCTTCTTCCCTCTGACCTAAGTGTGCTACTTGTTCAGAAAGACTAGTAAGACTTATATTATCTGGTGTGGCAGATGTCTAAGGAGAACAATGCAGTCATCATATTGCCACTCACCTTCCACAAAATCTTCTGGTATTTCAGCATTAAGCGAATGATGTGTGCTGCAGTATTGGCTAACAGTAGTTCTTCATAATCAGAATGCTTACTTCTACTGAAGAAAAGGTTTGGTGCCATTATAGTAGAAATGTTCCATAAACTCATTCGGTTTTTTGACTCATTGGCAATCACTTTATTGAAGAATGTCATGAGGGCCTAACAAGAAATAGCATTGTCATGGCATTGTTAAACCTCAGAAGGAACTGCTAAATTGCTCTCATTTACTTTATACCCTTTTACTGGGCCACAGGATAACTTTCAGAAGTCTGGAATATTGAAATGTTTCTCCTTCGTTGTTTAAAAGGGGTAAGGAAAGTGAAGGGTTAACCCAGTTCTATGTATCATAAAAGTAGCTACATTTTACTAACAGTTTGCATTTTCTTTAAAAAAAAAGTCATTTAGAAGTTTGACAAAATACTAAAATAGTGAACTAGAAGGAGAAAATGTTACAGCTCAAATAAACATAAAATGCCATTCTGTTGTATAGGAAGAAATGTTATTCTAAAAAAAACTCAATTTAAAGCATTAGTGTTAAAACCACTTTTTCTTTAGGGAAGGAAAACCCTTAGGCCTCCCTGGTGACACAGCAGGTTAAAGCACAGCACTAAGAAGCTAAAGCTACTTCAGTATAAGTTCAAGCCCTGCCCCGGAGGTGACCACATGGTGTGGCAGACCTCTCCTGACCTGCCTGCTGTTCCCCTCAGCAGTGTACTTCATCCATCTGCCTGTTCTGCTCCCCATTCCGTCTCTGGTGAATCCTCTCACTGCCCCTGCACCTCTGTCCTGTACCCCAGTTTTATATGCATAAATAAATAAATCTTAAAAAAATTACTATTAAAATGTAAAATTACTATCTCAAATGTAAAAACTGAAAATTTTAAAATGTTTTCTCTTGGGGTGTCATTTTCCCATTGTTTTCAATTTTGGTATTTTTAGTAGAAATGCTTACATATAGCTGTTCTCAGCATTACAAATAAAAGAAAAAAAATTTTTCTTTTGAGAAAAATTATGCCTTCTTTTGAGAAGGCATAGTGGACATTTGGTGGCTGAACCACCAAATTATAGAGGCTTATTAGAACCCTTCAAAATTTACTAGAGGATTTAAATCCTAAAAGGAGAGTCTCTTTGATTTTCTAAGTCTGAATGCTCTAATAATATTTATGATATAAAAAATTAAATAAAAACACTACTATTTATTCAAAAGGGTACCTTTTGAATTGACAGGATTTTACCTGTTTACAATAGGTAAGATATGGTAACAATCCAAATGCCCAAAAATAGATGACTAGATAAAGAAGATGTGGTATAGAAAGCAATGGAATACTATTCAGCAATCAAAAAGATAAACTCATGCCATCACAGCAACATCAATGGAACTAGAAGGGATTATGCTCAGTGAAAGAAGCCAGAAAGAAAAAGAAAAAAAAAATCAGATGGTTTCACTTACTATAGAAGGAATATAGAGGGACCAAAAAAGGCACCCAGAAAAAAAATAAAGAAAAAAATTAACAGGCAACTATAAGAAACATTCTGCAGACAAGAGAGAAAGGGACCAAAACAGGGAAGAAACAAGCATAAGGGACTATGGTGCACTAAGGAGTGCACAGGTGAACTGGTGGGAATTTTACAGGGACTACACCTAAGAGGAGAAAGTATACATTGTACAAAATGAACAGTGATGTAAAATAGATGTCAATAAATAAAATACTAATATTAAATATTGACACATTTAATACATAATCATTAAATATTAATACATCATTAATACATAATATAACAACTTTAATATTAATGCATTAAATATTAATATATATAGATAAATAAAATACTAATATTTTAATACTAAATAAATAAAATACTAATACTAGTAATGCAAAAATTATATTAAATATGAAAAAAATAGGGCATTTGAAATGAGAAAATGAGAACCACATAACTGTAATAGCTCACTTTTATTAAAAAGCTTATTGTGAGCTAGGCATTCTTCATAGTACTTTTTAGATATGATCCACTCATTTTATCATCATTCCAAACCTTGCAATCTAGGTATTTTTATAAACATTGCTTTATAGTTGAAGAAACTAAGATGGAAAAGAGTAAGTAATTTTGCTCAGTGTCAATTAACTGGCAAGAGTTCAGATCTCTTGATTTCTACACTGTTCTGGCTTCAATATTAGTTTTAGCACAATTTAGAATGGAAAGAATGTGTGTGTGTGCATGAAATCTTCATGGTATTTTTTGAGAATCTCCTATTATAATGTATTGGTAATAGTGATTTCTATTAGAAATTATATAATAACTGAAGCATCTTATTATATTAAAGAGTATTTTGACACAGATTTCTATTATCACATGCATTCTTTTCTGAAAATATAGCACTGTTCAGACAAAGCCAAAAAACAAGCAAATATATTTCCAGATTTTGAGAAAAAGACCAAACTGCATTAGAAACTAATATTCTTATACCATAGCAAAATCCCCACATACATAGGTGTTTTCACATTTCACTAAACTGAAATGTCTCATAAGAAGTGACACTAAGAATTACCTGTTTTCAGCATTGTTTACTTACCTCAAAATTAAAGGTTCTTTTCACAAAAACATTAATTCAAAAGATACATGCACCCCTATGTTTATCACAGCACTACTTACAATAGGTAAATCCTGGAAGCAACCCAAATGCCCAAAACCAGATGACTGGATCAAGCAGATGTGGTGTATATATACACACACACAATGGAATTCTATTCTTTTCAATTAATTTTTAACTCAAATTCATTTCAAAGATTCATCTCCTGCTTGTGTTTTAACAAATTTCCTATTGTTTATAGTATCATGATCAAAAGAGCAAGAGAAACTTCAATTTGCATTAATATAGAGAATATAAATTAATTTGAAGTAAAGGTTGGGAGAATAATTAGTATGCAGAACTAGGGGATGTGATTTTATCAACTGTTCTTTTATATGTTAGGGTGGGAAGTCAATTTTCTGATCTTAATTTTCCTAGTCCATAAAATGACAAGAAATTATCAGGTGATCTCTGCAATTCTGAGATTCTACAATTCTTTAAACTGATTTACTTTCATAAAAAATAAGACATGAACATTTTAGAAATTCCACTTAAATATGTGATTTCAAATTTCTTCCCCAATTTCCTTCCTGTGTGATCTTTTGCCACTACCCTGAAGTGAACTGCTAAGAACCAACTCTAGAGCTTCATAATTCACAATTTATATAATGGTATCATTTACTTCTGACCTTGTTCCAGTTAGTTCTTTCTTCTTAACTTCTCCTCCTACTGCTAATCCTGAATTAATGAAATCATTAATTAATCATTAATCCTGAATTAATGAAACGGCAATGTGCAAAGTAGATGCTGATTTATATTTTTTCCTGTCTTCCTCAGGAGAACAGCAGAGGGAATGTGGAAAAATAAAAGGTTTGCAGCATGTTTAGACTGGCTTAGGAAATTGTCAACTCAGTTTTCATTTTTCCATCTGAACTATTTCCTCTGACAAATAAGAGTGGATGAGAAATCATGAGGTTGATAACGACATACCTGGGCTGTGTCCCTATTGGCATCAGGCAATGCCATGATCATGAGGTGTAAGGCTTGAAACTGTACTTTGATGTGAGGTCCTCCTAACAAGAAAACAGAGAAACAGCCACATATTTTGAACAACAATGATATATTATGACAGTACTTCTTGGTAATATGTGCTAGTTCTCTAAGGTAACAACTCAGGTTTCACACCTAACAAGGCAAATTTGTTTGACTGGACAGGACCCTCAATCTATCAAGACCTTATTCATCTCCCAGGATGCTACTATTGAGGCCAGTGGCCAACCAGATCCTCAAAATAATTCTGAATTTATATTACATTGACATTTCCCTGTCAAAATACATTCATAGACTTTGACCACTTTTATGCTATAAACAGAAGACTTGAAGCTCAAAAGATAATAAACTTGGTGGAAGATGACATTAGAGGAAGTTCCCTGTTTTGTTCTATGGAGAATGGCCTGAGAAGTCTAGGTAGGCACTGAACTCAGAGGAGCCCTGGATATAGGGTGAGGCTGGGATATCTCATAATGACCAGGGACTGAGCATAATGACCACTGATAAAACATGACAGAAGAGACATGCAGAAAATTCAATACTGGATAGAATAAAAGAGTGAGCAGGGAAAGCAGGGACCTCTGGAATGGAAACCAGTTTTCATATCTGTACCCAGAGGGAAGGGCAAAGCTGATTGCTATGGATCTGGCCATGGGAGATATAGGCAAAAGTGCTGTGGTGGCCCTCCCTGGTGACGCAGCGGGTTAAAGCACAGCACTGAGAATCTAAAGCCGCTTCCGCATGAGTTCGATTCCCGCCTGCCCCGGAGGTGACCACATGGCGTGGCAGACCTCTCCTGGCCCGCCCGCTGCTCCCCTCAGCAGTGTGCTTCGTCGATCTGCCTGTTCTGCTCCCCACTCTGTCTCTGGTGAGTCCTCTCACCCTCCGCATCTCTGGCCTGTACCCCAGTTCTGTATGAATAAGTAAATCTTAAAAAAAAAAAAATCTTTAAAAAAAAAAAAAAGTGCTGTGGTGAGCAAGCAGTTATGGGAACTAAGGAGGGGCCATTTTGGAATTCATGAAGGTTGTGCCAACAACCTAGCACACAGGCTGTGGAGGTCTGAGGCCCAGAGAAAAAGCATGAGCAAAGTTCACACAGAAAACTCACATGAATAATGGACCCTCAAAGACCTTTACACACTCACTGCGGACCCAGATTAGTTTTACTGATATATACTGCTATGTACTGGGAAAGTCAAAGCTGTACACACTTAATATTCAAGAAGTATAACAATGGGGAAGAAAAAAATCCCATAACACATGGTAAGCTGAGTCCTCAGGGGACTACTACGCCACACAGAGAAAGCAAATCTCCAGAATCTAACCACAAGACATAAAAGAGCTATACAAAGAAAATTATAAGACATCATTAAACGAAAACATAAAAGGTACCAAGAAACAGAAACCACCTGCTCATGCATTGGAAGAAATAACACTGCTAAAGTATGCCACAGCAAGATGCAGATTCAATGCAATCCCTGTCATTATTTCAACGGGCTTCTTTAAAAAGTAGAACAAAGATTACTGAACTTCAGATGAAATCACAAAATACCTTGAACAGTCAAAGCAATCCTGACAAATTATACTCAGTGTTCTTGTATTTGGATAGCTACTTAGGAGTGGACTTGCTGGATCATATTGTAGATACATTTTTACTTTTTTTTTTTCCTAAAGATTTACTTATTTATACATACAGAGCTTGGGTACAGGCCAGAGGTGTAGGGGGATGAGAGGAGCAGTGGGCGGGTCAGGAGAGGTCTGCTGCACCATGTGGATCACCTCCAGGGTGGGGATCGAACTTGTGCTGAAGTGACGTTAGCTTCTTAGTGGTGTGCTTTAACCCACTGTGCCGCCAGGGAGGGTCTCACATTTTTACTCCTTTGATAAATCTCCATACTTTTTTCCAGAGGGGGGCTAGAAAATTGTAGCCACAATAGTGCAAGATGATTCATTTTTTTTTTTTTTTGTCGGCAATATTGCACTCTGAGGCTTCAATCTATATGACAAAGTGTAATAATGAAGACTACATGGTATTGGAACAATAATAGACACAGGGGCAAATGGAATAGAATTGAAAGCCCAGATATAAACACACACCTTTATGAACAGTTCATCTAAGGCAAAGAAGCCAAGAATATACACTGGAGCCAGGAAAAATCAACTCAAAGTGAGTAAGACTTGATGGAAGATCTGAAAACATAAAGTACATAGAAGAAAACACAGGCAAAAGACTCCAACACATAGGCTTCAGTTCTTTTTATGGATTCATCTTCAACATCAAGATAAACAAAAGATAATTTAAATAAATGGGACTAGAGCAAACTAGAAAGCTTACAAACAATGAAAGAAATCATTGAAAAAAAAATACAGATTTTCCTAAGACAAATCTGAACAGGGGCTAATAGCCAAGATTTACAAAGAATTCATACTAATCAAAAAGAAAACAAATAACCTAATCAATCAAGGCACATAACAACTAAATAGACACTTCTCCAAAAAGGATACACAGATGGCCAATAAGCTCATGAAAAAAATGCCCACTGCATATTATCAGGGAAATGCAAATCAAACCACATGAGATAGCACCTCACACCTGTGAGAATAGTCCACATCAAAAGCCCAGAAACAAGTGCTGGCGAGGATATAGAGAAAGATAAATCATCTTGCACTATAAGTGGGAATTTAGACCGGTCCAGCCACTCTGGGAAATATTATAGAGGTCTCTCAAAAGATTAAACGTGCATTTATCATATGGCCCAGCAATTCCACTCCTAAGTATCTACATAAAGAATACAAAAACACTAATTCAAGGGGAAACATGCACTCCTATGTTCACTGCAACACTAATTTGTAGTAGCTGAGCTATGAAAACATCCTAAGTGCCCAAATAGGAATGTGTGGATTTGGAAGGTATGGTGTGTATACATAATGGAATACTACCCAGCTACCCAAAATAAACTCTTGCCATTTGTTACAACATGGAGGAAATTATGCTAAGTGAAATATGACAAATACTGAATGGTGTCACTTATGTGTGGAATATAGAGAATAACTACAACAATCTAACTAACAACAATCCCTAGAAATCAAACTATAGAACTGAGGCTACCAGAGGGAGAGGAAAGCAAACTGAAAAGGGAACACAGCTCTGAGGATGCACTGTGGCTGTTTTGGTGGTATGTATAATAACAACACTTGGAGGAGGAAATTCTAACTAAACCTCTGAAACGCAAAGAGAAAAACTTAATGCAACTTCAGTTAAAAAAAATCTTGTTTCCACATTATGAGTCAGAAAAATACAATTATTACGAATCCAATTCTAGAACCAAGTTAAAACCCTCCATTTATCACTCAATCACTGAGTCACCTTGGACAGATTTATTTAACCCTTCCTAGCTTTCATTTTATCTGTAAAATGGGAGTAGCCCAGGACTTCAATGAACTCCTGTGAAAAGTAAATGAATCAATATGTGTAAAGAGCGTCCATCAGTAGGAACGCACCATTACCTTTATATATGCTTACTCTTATGATGATGATTAATTATATTTATTCTGTATCTTATGGACAATTCAGAAAGGTGACTATAGTTGGGTCTTTTGAGTTTTGAGTATTTTACTCTTTGACAATAACAGAAGATGGCGCTAGAGGGTTGGTACTTATACCTGGTGGTCTCAATGTTAGCTCCTTCCATTTTAAGAACAGAATTTTAGGGATTCCATCCATAATAGGATAATCCATAACCAGCTGTGTTGAAAATGTACTGTATACTAGAGTACTCAGGCTTTGTTTTGTCTCCCTGTATTCTCAAAACGGCCTCTTAGTGGGGAATTTCTGGAGGGAAGCATTATGTTCTAGAATCCCTGGGGAATTCTCAAGTTGAAGGAAAGTCTATTTATATTCAGTAGATGAAATGTAGTCAGCTGTCTGTACACTAGTGGAAACACTCTTGTGACAAGTTACTAAGTTACCGGAAGTTGTATGAAACCAAGTTAGCTGGAGATGACTAATGTATATAGCCATGCAATGAAGTAACAGCTGGGAGGAGTATTTATAGGCTCATATCAGATTGTTACAGCACAATACCCAGGTGGATTTTTAGAAATTTATGTCAAAATTGTAAACAGAAGTGACAGAGTCCAATATGTTTTGGAAAAATAGCTAAGACACATTGATGTGAGTTGCCCAAATAACAGGACCTATCAAAATTTATCTCATTGCAAAGCATTTAGGCAAGCATTATGATAGATGACATATAATATTATCATCTGGATGGTAAGAGTTTTCTACAGTCTTTCACAGCAATCCAAAAAAAATTCTGGGGGGAGGATTATAGATACAGATGCTGGTTCTGTGTTGCCATCAACTTCAGGGAAACTGTTCATTTGCTTTAGAGTTAAAAATTGAAATCAGCAAATAACCCATTTTCTTTTTTACTTAGGAAACTGTACTGTATTTTGGTTAATAGTTTTAGAGTTCAATCATATATCACATCCTAGTTAAGTCTCCC